AGATCTGCAAGACATGGGCATCATCGGCAAAGGTCACAAGAAGGAGTACAGTGCGTAATAGATCTGCAAGACATGGGCAACATCGGCAAAGGTCACAAGAAGGAGTACAGTGCGTAATAGATCTGCAAGACATGGGCAACATCGGCATAGGTCACAAGAAGGAGTACAGTGCGTAATAGATCTGCAAGACATGGGCAACATCGGCATAGGTCACAAGAAGGAGTACAGTGCATAATAGATCTGCAAGACAGGAAATAGCGGCACAGGTCACAAGAGCTCAAAAAGACAGCATCTAGCAGACTTAGGTAGTAGTAACTTTTCACCACTGTGAGTGCAGCGTGCTGACTCACTAGCCTCGGACCTCGAAGTTCTTTTATACGCGACATCTCAAACCTGAATAAATAAAAGGTCTTGAATCCGATGTTTTCGTAGTGTTTGTATCTTTACTGTAAACTTAAAACTATACAAAACAAAAGATGAATTCCTAATTACTATGAAATTACACAAGGTGACGTGACAAAAAAACTGTGATGCTTCTAGACTCAAGGCTTCTGCCGTCATGCGTCCTTATGCTTTTACAACAAACTCAGCAGCCAATCGACTTGCACCATGTGGCGACTACATACTAAGGTTCCTAAGTCTTACATTGTAACAAATACAAAGCTATAAAAATATTCAGATACCAAAAATATAACTCAAAATTCTATTCAAAATATTAATAAAATATTACATTCAAATAGTCAAATGTGCATATTTAGTTACAGCAATCACACTCTAACAATCACATTACCATCACATTGTGGTATTTTGTGGTACTTTCAAAAGCAACACTATTCCGGTATTTTGAATAAAATGGTATATTTTGCCAAACTACTAGTTAGTTTTGTCAACAAAATATTATGGTATACCCAAAATCATCCATCCATATTTTGTAACCACTTGTCCTATTCAGGGTCATGGGGGGTCAGGAGCCTATCTCAGAAGCTATGGGCACAAGGCAGGGAACACCCCAGGATGGGGGGCCAAACCAGAGCTGTGAGACAACAGTGCTAACCACTGCAAGGTAACAGCCAATGAGATGTTGAGTATGTAGTTTAAGGGGCTATATCATATCATCTGAGATATGACAACATCCAGTATACCTGAGCAGGTATCTCTGCCACAATCAAACATCAGGTAGGGCTTTAAGGTGTTTACCTGGTGTCCATCAGGCTCCTCTTCCGGCACAGCAAATTCCTCTGCATGGTACAAAGGCTTCCTCTGTTCCCTATTCCGGCGTGCAACGGAGTTGAATCCCTTGTCTGATTGGCCATATCGCTGGTGAGGAGATTCTGATTGTTTACGGCCATTGCAGGGAGCATCTGATTGGCTACATTGCTGGGAGGGACCTGGCATTGACTGCTTGAGGGACAAACGAGTGTCTATTTCTGAGGAATCTAACCGGTCCTGATTATTCATGTGACTCTGGCAGGAGGAGTGGGACTGTGCTCCACGAGAGGTCACATTCTGCTGGGAGGAATCGGGAGAGTCCCTGTGATTGGACAGAGTCTGGAATGAAGAGTCCAGAGGGTCACTTCGACTACTTTGGTCATTCTGGGCAGGTAACAGGCGGGATGACATCAGAGCAGGATCCTGGGAATTAGCTGTAGAAGAGGAGTGGCTCGTGGGTGTGGCTACGGAGAAGCTGACGGCTGCAGCCTCTGGGTTGAACGTTATAGTGGTGCTACTATTCTGGCGGGAAAAGACAGGGGAGGAACCGCCGTAGCCAGACTCATTGGAGGAGTGGCTACCAAGCGAAAGATCCGATTGGCTCCTGCGTGGGTTGTAGGGCTTCAGGAAGGAGCTGTACACAAAGCCCTTCGTGACTGTGGAGAGGAAAAAAGGCCATCAGTTTCAGTCATTTTAATACATAATTTCAGTTATACCCATACTACGGTCCACATGCCAACATAAGGATCTGTAAACCCTTCAGGTTAGAACATGTATGTAGAAATTCACTGGCAGCAGATGCCAGGAAGATCT